GGCTTCTAATTGTTCATCCCCGTTGACGATACCATGAACACAGGTGATCAACCTGAAAGACTCGGTAGGTTTTCACCTATTCTATATGTTGGAACATTTGACCCGGTTGTTGATTTCATTACCAAGGGTTGAAGCATGCTTGCGAGCATGATTTGCCCAGGTACTCAGGTCGATTAACCAATGCTCTTTGATTTATGACCATTATTACCTGTCCCGGCTTCTGAAGCTGGTAGCATGGACCTCAAAATCGCCCACTTCCCTGCAATGCATCATTCTCTTCGACCAGGCAAACAAAAATTCTTCACCTTAATGAGCCACTTCGCCGAGCTTACGAATCCTAGCTTTGAAGCTTTTTAATGCAGGGAAAGAACAAAAAATTACGACAGCGTTGGGCATTGCTGCCTTCAAGCAACATGACTGTCACATCTCTTGTCTACCACAATCGTTCGAACAACATTCACCGGAGACATTAGCACCAAATTTTCTGCAAAAACATCACAACATTCCAGTTACTCATTTCGGATTAAGGAACAGAACGCACTTCGACCAACACCATCACAATCGGTAAATACCGCATGCCAATAAACTGCCTCTTCGAATCTGTTTGAAAAACATCGTCATATTTTGAAAAGAAACCGGGCAGACGAGCAGAAGTAAACGAAAGAACATTCAAATTATCATAATCGCAAACCGACACAGCCATGGACTCAGATGGGCGCAACGCATCTCGGATACCCTGGATATCACAAACAGGTAAACCAAAGTGGCGCATTTTATCACGCAGGACCCGCAAACGTCACCGGTTAAGTCTATTCCGTAGTTTTTCCAGACATAGTCACGGAGTTCCATGGAGGGCCTAAAACACCTCAACAAGCTAAACACCACGCGTTACCGCTGGGCAGTTAAATGCTGGCTTGCGGCATACACCCAACTGTCGGACGTACGCAGGTTATGCAAATGTTGCGTGTTAAAACTGAAGATCACAAGACGACAGTCACAGTGAACGACACACACGAACGACTGGCAGTCGAAATCAGCATACCTGAATAGGATTTACTTAAGTGATTATGCGTACAAATATCAACATACCGACGACACTATTTATTAGCGTTCCGCTGTGAGCGTGTCTGTACGCATTTGCAGACCATGAATGCATAACAGACGGACGGCGAGAGTACTTTAACGACATTCTGTTCATATTTTGCCGCCGATAAACGGGGATAATACGTGCCTGTTCCCCGTTGGACTTCTCAACGCTTGGGCTCAAATTCTTCGAGGGAACCACGATCACAACCAGGAAAGTACTCCAACATCTGCCTGCTCTTGACACCGATCCACTGATTGGGGTACTTGTCTTCGACATAACCGGCCGTATTGTTATTGATACCGTACTGGCTGCATTCGGCATACTGTGGGCACCCGGACTGCAGGCGAAACAAGCAAAGAATAACCATTTGTAGCTCTGCACAGGTTTATATACCATCCTAACATAGGGCCCCCATGGCCTTAAGACACCAACAACATGATCCAGACCGCAAGACGCTAACTCTGGTCTAAATCATCCAAATGATCATAGAGCGTTTGCCGTGTTTCCACACGATATATCATCCCAGTCTCTTGACCAGAAGTACATCATGGGCGAGTTTAAACGGCAGTGGTGACCCGCTATTTAAAGAGGACATTAAATAACCAATAATTAGTGCGATGGCTATCTGTTAAAGGAAAAAGAATCGATCATACGCTTTTGCAGCGAGGCATCTGTCTGTTACAGGACTATCACGCGACATTATGACTCGCGGCGCTATGGCCACTTCACTTGATCTTGTGGCAGTTGAAAGCGATATCATGGTTGTTGGTGACTAGGCTAAAACGAAAGCAAACCTCTCGGTAATGTCAATAAAAGTAATACTTCTTAGTGTTTTACCGAAACTATCAAGCAATCTGACAGGGTCATCCGGCGACATCTGGACAGCCCAATTGCTTCGGGAATATATCGTTATTATTATTTAGAGAAAACGGAGGCGAGTTTGCAATAAATCGTTAAACAACGACCCAGGGTTGGGAATATTGTCATTACGCAGGCTGCAAACAGTAAATATAGGAACCTTTGGGCATGAGGATGGAAAGACATGAGGCAGAATCTCTTCAAACGCCGAGGAGGCGGAATCCCCCTCCAATGAACGGGAGGTATCGGAAACATTAAGGGTGGTATCGAAAAATTCCACCGCTAGGACCCATTGCAGGCGTTTGGATGAAAGCCGGTGTAAGAAGATAAGGACTTCCAACACCTTCGGTGGCACAGTTGTGTTGACGGTTTTGGAAAAAGCTGAAAATGTGTTCATACGAGCGCCAACAAAGTGCCTAAGAATCTTCTGCAAACTTCTCAATACTCAAATTTATTGGGGTGCTGTAAGGTTTCCCTCACGGGAAAATCCTCATACCAGATTTCTGTAATGCTGACATTTTAATAGAATGATACTCCGTTTTCCTAAATGATTCTGAGTACTTGAGCACAGCTGGAGATTATAAATATTTGACTGAGACGTTGCCTAACCCCAATTTTTCCATGAGATCACTGATCCGCCAGGCTGTAACGCACCGTATATTAAAATTCCCGTGCGTGATACTGATCGACCGTTTCTCAGCGTCGTTTGAAGTTGCCTCCGATGTTCGCCATTTAAGGACTTGTTTCTCAAGCAAGCAGTTAAGTAACTTCTATCTAACACTTCCTATAAACAGATCCAATGGCGCCAGACCCTAGAGGATGGGTTTTCAAAATGTCGTTTCCAGTGGGCATTTTGGGTTGAATGCCTGAGCTCCTCAAGCTGACGCACCGCTCAGATCCTACGCGAGCCAACCATCATCCATTATGGATATAGTTTCCACCGATGCAATACACTGCATGGTTCAATCAACCTCCCTGGAAAAAATTTGACCATTGTGCTGGCTTATTTTCATCTGGTACTGGGTTGATAACCAAGGATATAAGGCGCGGTTTTGAAGCATTTGGCTGCTAACTGCCCGGGTGTTTGACTCCTGAACAGCTTAAAACGGGGCCATCTTTGGCAGAGGGAACGTGCGGAACAACTGTAGAGAAGATGCGTGAGGTTGGTTGGGCACCCGTCCTAAAGTAAGCGGAATTTACAAGAAGGGGACAGAAGCTACCCCGAAAGAATTGTATTCTTCCTTCAAAAGCATAACTGAAGGAAAACTAAGAGACAAATTAACGTTTTTAAGTTGCGGAACCTTTGAAAACCAAGGTCCACCAGATGAAGAGGAGAGAAAAATAAGCCATGATACTGGGTCTCAACTGGAGTGAAACACACTGGTAAAGTTTATAGTTCATCCAGGGTTATAGATAGCGGTCGCCAACTTGATTGAAAGAAACGTGAAGCCCACGTTAGACCCAGTGGCGATATTTGACGCTTGGGTGAAACACTCCTGGGTGCAGAAACTCTGCGGAATCTGTGCAGAACTTCTGCACTAATTTTGGGCTTTTACGCCCCGGGAGATTGAAGCGCTTAATAGGCATCAAAGCTTCTTCATTTGTTTCACAGTAATAAAAAACCACAATACCCTGCATTTCCGTGTGGCTAGGGAATGCAACAGGTCAACCGATTTAAGTGTTTTTGTTATAGTGTGCGGCGCCATTGCTCGCGAGAAGCTCTGCGTCCTGCTTGTCCTCACGTGCGGCTTAGAGTGAATTTTGTTGTGCTTTCATATGTTTTTCCTGGTGTGTTTACGTGAACAAAACCGTAAAAAAGATTTTTCATTTCAAGTAACCGTCAATGCGCCCGAAATTTGTTCGTGCTGCTCGTAGAGGCTCTTCAAAAACAACGCTATATAGAAAAGTACGACAGGCGGTTGCGGCAAGTTGCTGTTCTCGTTGCCGATTGATGAATGCGTCCATAATACCTTTGTTCTACTATCTGAGGGTAAGATTCATGATTAATCAGATGATATGCTCTTGATATGCCGAATGTGACCGTTCCAGGTGATAAACTAGGCTGCGATTTACCACGCTGTTCGCCGGCGGTTTCCTCGATCCCTGTTATCAGGACCTTGGAACCAGAAAGACATTCACCACTGCGGTCCCTGGAGAATCCTTCGGTTCCTGCTTTTTGCCATAAGGTAGCCCAATGCAAGTCGTTGAAGGCATCTGCCGTATGTTCTGCTTACACTTGTATTGCTTTTCATCAGTATCCTTTTTAAACCACTCACAACCAGGTAGAAGTATTTTAACGCCTGTTCATCGGATTGCGCGAAGGCTGTATCCACCATTATCGGGTTTAGCCGTTGTGTTGGACGAACTCAGATACTTTTTTCCATCTCTTTCGAAGGATCCGCGGACCGTAATGAAACCCCCCGTCGTTGCTGCGTGCGACAGAAGGCCGGCGGCATTTACATCCTACTTGGTTGAAGGCAGTTTTGCTGCAACAGCTCCGTGATATTCACACTGGGGCTACAAATTTCGACATTCAGATGAACGTTGACGGTATTCGGGCTTATAACAACTCGCATACTCAAGTGTGGCCTATAATCTCCCGCATAATTTCCCCCTTTCTCGGTCAGCCTTTCGTCGTTGGAATATGCTGTGGTAAACAAAAACCCAACGATGCTCATCAGCTGATGTCTGACACGGTCGCTGAGTTGACGGACGTCTTGGCAAACGGTGTCTCCGGGGATTACAATATTCACACCGTCCGTCATCAGTGCATTATTTGCGACAGTCCTGCAAGGGCCTATCTGAAACACGTGAAGGGACATACAGGATATTATGGCTGTGATTATTGTACACAAAAGCGTGTGCACATTGGCACACTGACTTTTCTCTAGTTGACAGTTCCCTTGCGTCGTGACTATGATTTCCGGACCAGAAAGCAAGAGAAGCACCATACAAGTTCAAGTCCGATGGAGGAGTTAAATTTACAGTTTCCCACCAGATTACATACATAGTGTGTCTTGGTTTAGTGCGAAAATTTCTCATCTTACTCAGAGCTATGCCAATCGGACACAAGGCCAGGCTTTCTGTGGAGTCCTGGAATCTGCTGAATGATAACATTGAGCAACAGCTGTTGGCTCTAGGTGTTGATTTCCCCCGAAAATGTGGAGTTGTCGTAGACCTGGATCGGTGGAAGGCATCTGAGCTAAAACAGTTTCTTCTGTACAGAGGACCCGTTGTTTTACGGGATATCTTACATTCTGACGTTCACGATTGTTTCATGTATTTTTCGGTAACCATTTTCGTAGGCTATTCACCTTTTTTCCACAACGCTATGCCGATTTTCAATCGACGTTTCCAAAATTTCTGTGTCAAAATTTGGTGCTGTTTTTGGTCCCAGTCATTTAGTCTACAACATACACCTCTTCCCCAATTTATTCAATTTCGTCAAGATTTACGATTGCTTGGATCATTTTCCGTTTTCCCTATGAATCGTAGCTGGGGCATATGAAGCATTACATACATGGGCCAAAACCATCAGCTCTTCAGCTTTACTGCCGACTGGCCGAGTGTGTGGGATTGCATGCTGTCGAATGGAAGATATTTTTGGATGATGTTGGCTTGCGACTGAGGCCATCAGCCACTGCCGGACGTCACGGGTTTGTTCATAGGGATGTCGTTTTTTTCGAAAAACTTTACCGACAACTGTATTTTGCTTGATGGTCAACCAGCTGTCCTTGTAGATTTTTCTGGAGATGCTACTGAGTACCAGAAATTCAAAAATGTTCTCCCCTTTTACATTCACGTATTGATATCGAAAGATGTTTTAGTTTTTCAGTGCTCCGACTTGCAACACACTCGGCTGTTTGCATCAGTCGACCAAATATCTTGTAAACGCCTAAGTTTTTCCCGCAAATACACTCGTATATACTTCCCCATTTTGCATACCCTTATCGATTAGTCACTGGCACTCGACACATGTGTGCATTTATTACTTGTACTACTCATTAGTTCGTAAAATATATACATACATATTTATGTTGTTGTGTTATTCCGTCAAAGCTTCCATTTGCATGCGGACATTCCCCTGTTAAATGTAGTATTGAGGAGTTGTTTTCAGCCATGTACGCTCTTCTTATTTTTGCGGACAACTCTGTTGGTATAGTGCATGAATCGTTGTTCGTACCGCCCGATTCAGTCCTTTGGCCCTCATGCACAAGCAGCACTCTATATGCCAACTTACTGAGGGGTTCTGTACCAAAATTTTCACTCAAGTCGCGCGCGTACGAAGTGCATCGGCAGTGCAGTGAGTCCATTTTCAGTTAAAAATATTGTAGAAACTTATCCGGATGCACTGAGTGCTCAGCCAGCGCAGCAGGAAGCCCTTGACTCAGGGCATACCTCCTCTGCGGAGCAAAACGACGGACGGATCGTACGTCAATCCAGGCGCAAACGGTATGTTTATCAATCGTATTACGATGGCTGCAGTACAAAGAAATGGCTGCCGTCTGATTTTACAGACGGGTCGGATCGTAATTCCAGTGGTGACACCACTTTGTTTGCAAACATAATCATAAGCCCAGGAACCCCAAAAAGACTGTAGGTCCTCCCGCACCTATCAACATTTCAATTTGTAAAATCCTCATTTTCAGATGTACCAATCGGACTGCCACGATTAGTATATCATTGCTGTTCAAGACGCGCCACCCGGCCCGGGTGATGCCCCGATGATATGTGTAACGTACGTTTTATTTCTAGAATCTATAAACAGTTCCACGTATACAACACTTCCCGCCGTGAGCGATCCAGAACCACGCAGTTCTACACCGACCCCCGGGTTTTCTTAACATTCCATGTACTTTGCTTTCTAGAACTAACTCTCCAAATTCAAAGGCCAGTGAAATTTCCACGGACCTGGCCAACCTCATTCTCAGTGGATAGATTACCATGTTTTACTTAAACTATTTTGTAAAGAATTTAGAGAGGATTTACTCGTCGCTCCAAGGACTGCACATGAAGCTAAACGCTTTAGTACCCACTAGCAGTTCTAAGGCACTCAAAGAGCCCCCTCTTCCGCTTTCATACGCTTTCTCCGAAATTATGAAGAACATCTAAGAGATGGTCCACGCTATGCACAGCTGGTGAGCATTAGTTGAATTCACGATTGTTGATTTCACAAAGGTGGAAAGGTGACTCTTGCAGGACGCTGGCGATTTACAAGTGTACGTGACCAACGAGCTTACGCGGACGTTGGGACGAAGGCTAGTCGTACTACTCAACTGGCGCGGAACAAATGAAAAAGAAGCTTTCGGTTCAACTAGGCTAGCCAAAGGACTTATTTGTAAGTAGTTAATTGTTATTTTATATATAGCTGGTTGAACCAGTGTCTGGATGAAACTTAATAACTGTGTTTTTCATTACAGACGCGACAACTGAGAAGTTTCCGAACACAAATCTGTGACAAATAAAGGAAATCGTTCATCCCTGGTTGGAGAAGGAACGGCAGAACGTTCGGAAACGCCTGCAGAGAGCCACCAAGAATGAAAAATGAATGACNCCAAGAATGAAAAATGACCCCCCCGTATTTTTTGAAAATTCATTCATAAAAATATTTGTACTTGAAGGCGCTTGTTGATATCCGGAAAAGTAATACGCCGAGCGATTATGTGGGGGCAAATGGGTTATCACTTGGGGTTTAGGAAGTTGCTGAATCGTACTAGGGAAAGAGATAAAGCCGTATAATGGGCTAGATTTTAGCTAGACTGTAGCTATGTGCGGACTGGGTGCGGAAATCCCGGTACTCGAGTACGGATTTTCCGCACCTAGATGCGGAAACGTCTGCACTATTTCCGCATCCGGGTACGGAGTGAGTGCGGAAATTTGTTTCATTTCCGCACATAATCTGCACCTAGGTGCAGAAATGTGCGGATATTGTGCAGAAATATCCGCAACCGGGTGCATAAATGTGCAGATATTGTGCGGAAATTTCCGCACCCGGGTGCGAACTGGGTGAGGAAACTTGCTTCATTTCCGCACTGGTTCCGCACCCGGGTGCAGAAATCTGCGGAAACTGCGCGGAAATGTCCACACCCGGGTGAGACATTCTGCAGAAATTTCTGCACCGGTGCTAACTGGGTAAAGAGCGGTGCTGTGCCCTTCTTTGCTCGCAGCCTGCTGTTGAACGTAGGCCGCTGAGTGCCATTAACAACTCCGATCCAGGAAGCTCGGGCAAACGCCGATGCTGCATATTAATCAGTAAGCCTGTGCAGCAGTGCCTGCTAACATGTGATTCCTGAACTAACTGCAGAATCTCCCATCTACTGCAAGGCTTAAACTCCAACAAAATCATCTCAACAAGGTCGCTGAGCTTCCACGTGAGAAGGAACCATCTGACTGGACACTCAAGCAGCCAGTCGGTGGCAACATCCAATGTACGACCTACCCCACCGATCATTCCGACCAATTACTGAACACCGCCCCGACAGCCTTAATTCAAGGTCGGAACGCACTTTAACCAAGGTGGCGCTGCGATTTCGCACGCGTTCATTCGTGCTGTGGCTGTTGTGTTCAGTGTATGTTCATTGGTCGGATCTTTTCCCACAACGAAGTTTCACATCCAGGTGCAACACAGCGTTCCAGCTTCACTATTATTTCCTTAAGTAGGTCGGTCGCACAACATACCAGATAAATGCACCGAATGTAGTACTCGCCGACAATCCTGTTCCCGTTAAAACTATTGTCTTCTCATCTGGTTCTCTCTGCAGCATCCTGGCTTACCATTGATCTACCTGAATCATAAATCCTTTCTTTGGATTCCGTCTTTTTAAATAAAACGACGGTTAATTAGCTGTCGTTATAACTGGCTTAGAGCAAAACTGAGGTGTTTCTTTGCTCAGAATTATCTACCCTAATTCTCATTATACTTTACGCTCAATATAGACGTGGAACGCCTACCAGTTAAGACGAGACTGAAACTCCCATTTGGGTAACACACTCATTTGCAATTTGGCTTGATGGTAACGATGAGCTCAGTATACTATAGAGTTGGGATCCTATAGGATCCCAACTGAAGCTTTCTCTGCTATGGTTTTCACCTGGTTCTGCTGTATAAAAGCCATAGCACGTTTGCTTTGGTTGACTGCATGAGATATTAATGTATCTTGGCGGAACACTACGCATAAATTTGCTGGACTATCGGCAACCCACGGATCTCTTCGCTTCCTTGGCACAACCATCGAGTTCCCGCCAAATATACGTTCTAATTGAATACTTAATCATACATAGATGGAAAATACACTCATTAGCTAATTATGTGGGCTACGACCAAGGACTCAACAGAATTCCAGGTAAAACTATAGTTTACACATTAAGAAAGACCGAAACCTCCTCGTGGAAACAGCCTTTTTGAAGCGACCTCTCCTTCCGTCAATAAAAAAACCAATGTCGTTTTCTTATTATTCTGTTACCCCACATGTGTCTTCAGCTACCTTCCTCTTAGCGACTACCCAACAACAGGACAACTTAATTCTCAATTAAGCTTCGACACTGGGGGCGAGATAACCCAAGTGGTTAGAGCAGGAATTTACTGACCGGAAGGTCCGTGGTTCGAATCCGAACTCCGCCTCTCGACTTGCCCTGTCTAGGCTTGGGCAACCTGACAGTATCCCATCCTTCTGGTGCATGGCAGCTAGGCACCGGAAGGATGCTACAGCTGAACGCAAGCTTCGACGCTTACCTACATACGCCCGATTCTAACGCTTGACCTTAACATGTCACAGCCAAACCCGGACTTGCAACGATTACTGATTGCCCTCTTTCCCTCATTTACCAATAAATGCCCCACGTAAGTGGGCTGGGATACTACCATGGCACCCTTACCTAGAGAGGAGGACGATTAGGGTCCTCCACCAAAGCCTTCTGCTCAAAACGCCGACTGCAAGGTAGCTGTGCTTGGCGGCAAATGCAGATGCATTTCAATCGTGACAGTAAGTCGGCACAAGTATTCCAACCTCCAACCTGGAGGACCGGGATACTGTGTTTGTCAGACCTGTAACCACTGACCAAACTGGTATGGGAAGGTCTGAGAGTATTGCACGGAAATTCTCAGTACAGCTCAATTGGTCGCGGTCACACCGCGGTATGGTCCAGTTTCGAGACGGCTTTGAAGCCAAGACACACCATGATTGTAAGGCACATGCACGCATGCTGTTCCTCTAAATCTCTGTAGAGTATGCGGATGTCCGTCACGAAGAGAAATCTCTGTAGTGCGGATGTCCGTCACGAAGAGACTGGACCTTACCGTGGTGTGACGGTTTGCGCACCTCAGCGATCCATTGAGCGACACTCACTGAGTCTCTCATATCAGGTTGGTCAATGGTTAGAGGTCTGACGAACACAGTCTCCTGGCCCTCCAGGTTTGGGGTTGGAACATGTGGCGACTTGTTCCGTAGAAATGGTAATGCATTTGCATTTCCAGCCAAACACCGCTGCCTTGCGGTTAGGCTATTGAGCCAAAGGCTTTGGTTGAGGACCCTAATCGTCCTCCTACAATACTCATTCCACATCGGCCGTCGCGTGGTGCCATCAGCCGGTCGCCTTACTTGCTGCATACAGC